ATAAAACTTAGAGAAAAATGCATAACACCTACATTTATAGTTTAACAAATGGTTGTGAAGTATTACTTTGTAACCATCCCTCCTAACACGCCCATTACTAGTACCCAGAAGCTCCCCACTTGTATGGAGTGGGGGAAGGAAAGTAGATTTACAGCTGATTGGATGGAAAATAGTACAACAATTAATAAAAAAAAAAAAACCAAGAATAAACTGTAGTTTGTGTACTTACAATTGTAAACCTACTTTTGCCCACCTCTGTATATTTTGGCAATCATTAAGTGCATTTAACTTTTAAAACCTAATTTTTTTCTAATTGTACATATTGTTGGGAATATTTTCTGACGTGGTCTGAAACCCACTTCCTAAGGAGGATGGGATTGAGAGACCAGTGAAAGAGGCTGACAACTTCAGAACTAAACAGTTTGCCAAGGGAACCTATAGACAGAAGCAAAGTCTTGGGACAAACATCAAGAGTTTAGATCTCCATACCCAAAAGGAGATGGGAGCTAGATATATGTATAGCCTTTAGGAACACAGCCAAGCAGCACCTGCTTGTTAAGAGCTGTGTACTGTAAGATAGTAAGCAACTTAATGAGCCTACTTAGCTATGTAAGAATATTCTTTCAGGTGATACTGGGCCCACCCCTCCTGGGGTGAACCAGAGATCACTGAGAGTAACTGCTTCTTAAGATGGTAGGTTAGTCAAGTGCTAGAAACCATTTGCTTAACATACGCATATACAATCTTGTCATAGAAAATTTGGAAAACACCAGAAAAAAATAATAAAAGAAAAATAACTATAATCCTGCCAAGCAAACGTAGCCATATTAACATACATTTCCTTTTGCTATCTCCTCTTCATTTGTTAGTGTGAGCGTCAATTACATTGACTGGTAGCAGAAATTGCTATGAGGTAATTCTTGGATCTGGGGTGAGTGGGTTGATTATTTTTGGAGAAGGGTTTTCAGGATAATGCTCCCTTGCAGTTAGGAAGGGAGGTTGAAGGTGAGACTGTTACTGTACAGTCATGTGGGGTTCTGTGGCCCACTGCCCATAAATTCCAGAGGCAGAGGTTTCGTGAAAAAGGAAAGGAGTCTTTTATTCAAAGGCTATACAATTTTGGAAGGATTTTGGAAGAACGGGTTTCTGCCTCAAAGCCCATTCCCTTTAAAATACCCAAAGACAAATAACCCCTCTACCCTTTGCCAGATCAGTTTAAGCTGTGCCTGGACTTTCTCTTCCTATTTAAAAATACTCCCCTTTGGGATATGCAGCTTAGCTGGTTCCTGGTCATGCTTCAGCTTTGGGCATCTTTCTGGAGTCTATGGGCTCCAGCATCCTACTCATGGTGCGCTGTCCTTTCTTCCAGCCGCTGCCCACAGGCTCTGCGCCTGCACCCCATCCCTATGACATTAGCTCGCTGGTGTGTCCGTGTGCCTGGCGGAGCAGGGCCGTGCTGGGCCAGTTGCCACGGCATTTTGTGCTGGACCCGGTACGGAAATACTCTCAGACCATGAGGTCTCCAGGGCCCCCTGGCCCGGGAACACTTGAGTCCTTGACCCCCGACCAGGCTAGTGAGGAGAAGGAAAAAAGTGACAAATTTCCACATGCCCTCTGTTTCATCTTCTATCCCCAAATCCCACGAAAAGTGGAAATATCCAAATTCCCAGTCGATTTAGGTTGGAATCCACCACCCTAAGCCCGCAGTGTCTCTGCCCCTCCTGCCGCCATAATCTGGAAGCGGGTAGGAGGGTCTTTTCCCCTGTCCCAACATTTCACTAGCCTGGCGCATATTGTGAGCCAACTTCCTTCTGTTGTGCCACACTGCCGCTGCTCGGTTGCTGGGACAACAACGCACGCTGGCGCCCTTTGTTTACTGTTGCCTGCTGCAGTGTCTCGCTACAGCCCCTTCCTTCTCCTGGGGAAGGCAGGCTCTTTCTGCTGCCTTGGGGCTCCCTTCCCCACCCCGAGGAGGGCGGCCTTTGAGCTGCCTGGGGGTCTCTTCCTTCCCCCCAGGGGGTGGGGGTGTCCCTTCTAGCCAGAGCTCCCTGGTTGGATTAGGGCAGAGGGCTTCAATATGTGTATGATTTTAGGTTGTGCACAAGACCACATTGCCCTTCAGTCTGTTTATCTTTATTTTATGTATATGTATCTACAAATATATTTATATATTTACATTTGAATATATCTGTCTTTTAATACAATTGAGATCATGCTATTTTTTTATGATCATTTTGACTATTACTCATTTATATCATGACATTACCACTTCCCAATTTTCTTTAAAAATTGTGATGAACAGATTTATTTAAAAGATTCCGAGAAGGCATTTTACCCCTTCGCGCTTTTCACTTTTTCTTGGAGAGGTGCTTCTCCTGGTCCTGCTGAGAGGCTGGCAAGAAATTGGTGTCTCTAAGCTCTTTAAGATGCTGATGTGCTGATAAACTCCTCCTGCCCCCACCTCACCCCTGGTACCTCCTATCTCAGCAGAGAAACCAGTGATGGCCACTCAGCCTTATAAATCTTAGTTCCTGGACTATAAGTTTAGTTTCTGGAAAAAAAAAAAGTTGATGAGACAATTTGGCCACGAATGTAACATTCTGTTATGCTTCCCTACCTTGTTTTGTTTAAACTGGTAAGTAAAGTGGTGCCCTCAGGCAGAAGTTGGCAGCCCCAGTATTTTAAGATCAGTAGAAGTGCGCTGTAGACGAAAAACAAGATGCTCCTGTGTCATGGGGCATGTGTGTAGCTAAGGCAGCTGCTTTTGTGGTTCTGGCACAGTTTTAAGATGTCGCAACTTCTGAGCTCATTCAATAAGCCTTGGACTTAAGAAAAATTGATCTTTTGTTTTGGTTTCTTTGTTTTTTTTTCTCCCTCCCCTGCCCCTCTTTTTGTAGTGCAGGAAAACAATATTGTGGCTATCAGGAAAATAAACAGTTATATTTACTATTGTGGTCGACACCAGGACTAATTATTCTAATTAAAATATTCTTGACACAGCAAACTCTCAATCTCTCTTCCTCACTCTGTATTCATTTATTCTTCCTCCTTTCATCCACCCATCTATCCAATTTTAAACATTGTAATGGGAAATGCATATATATATATAACACAAAATAGAAAAGGTACAAAAGAGTCTGTGGGGAAAAGCAGTTTTGTCTCTTACCTTTGTTCCTCAGTCCTCTGACCTAACAAATGCTTCCATTTTGAAGACTCATTTTTGATTTTGCCCTTATTCTGGATCCCACCATACACAGCAGAGTGACTCTGGCAAAATCACACAATTAAATTATTGGGCAAAAGACCTCTCCCATCATATTCAACATGGGTCCATAATATCAGGCTTCTGGGCAGACTTTTCAGGGGTCTTGGATCTTGTGTATAACTAAAAATATAAAAATCATAACAAATCAATGGGCAAGACCTGACTGTTTATTTATGACCACCGATTTTTTAAAATTTGTAATTAAAAATATAACTAACTCACCTTTGTTTAAAAAATCAATATAGGACAATAGGATATGTAATAAAAAGTGAGTTCATCCTAATTCTAGATCTCAGTTCTACTCTTCTCTCCCAGAAAGCCACCATTGCAGTTTCTTGTGTTTCTTTCCAGAAACCTTCCATATAGTAGACACATACATATTTACATTTCCTTACAAAAAATTAATGGAAAGATATTTAGAAAATTCTTATAATTTGAGGGTATCTAGACTTGGAAATGTTCACATAAAGTGAATCCACCTAAAGTTAGGACAAATATTCCATAGTAAATATTGATCTGCTTTGTGCCATGTGTTTTCTTTCTTTTTTCATCCTTACCTGAGGACATGCTTATTGATTTTAGAGAGAGGAGAAGGGAGGGAGAGAAACATGGATCTCAGAGGGAAACGTGGATTAATAGAGAAACATTTATTGGTTGCCTCTAGCATGCCTTTACTGGGGACGGAACCTGCAGCCCAGGCATGTCCCCTGACAAGAAATCGAACCCATGACCTTTTGGTTTATGAGATGATGCTCCAAGCAACTGAGCCACACCAGCCAAGGCCCATGTATTTTCTTAAATAGAAGATGTATAATCCAGAATTCTAGTATTTTTATTGTCAGAATTCTAATGCCAGCTTTGCATTGATCATGGCTGAATGGAAGGTCACAACAGTAGTTAACAATAGTTACAGTAGTAGTAGGTTTAAGCTCTAGCCTGACTCAAGACACACAGTCTCATTGTTTTTTGTTGTTACAATACACATAACATAAAACTTACTCTTTACCATTTAAAGTGTAAAATTCAGTGCCATTAAGTACATTCACAATGTTGTTCATCCATCATCAGTTTCTAGTTCCAGAACTTTTTCATCACCCTCTCCCCCAGCTCCTGGTCAACACTGCTCTGCTTTCTATCTACATGGATTTGTCTATTCTGGATATTTCCTATAAGTGGAATCATATATATGTGGCTTTTTGTGTCTGGCTCCTTTTATTTAGCAATGTTTCAGGGTTTAACCATACTCTAGTACTTTGTTTTTTTTTATGGTCAAATAATATTCCATTATATGGATATACCACATTTTATTGATCTATTCATTACTTGATGGACATTTGGGGTGTTTCTACCCTTTGGCTTTGTGAATGAACATTCATGTATAAGTTTTTATTTGAACATACGTTTTCAGTTCTTTTCGGTATATACCTAGGAATGGGATTGCAGTCCATATGGTAATTCTAGGTTTAACTTTTTGAGGAAACATCTAATCCTCTGAACCTCTTTGATGCTGGTCCCTTTGCTCCGTACTATAATATGGATTTCTCTGTCTGTCATTAGTCTTCCAAATCAGGGAAGAGTAATTAATATCTGGATTAATTGATTAAAATCTGGTTAATAGTCAAGTTTAACATTCTGATAATTAGCATTATAATAGCAGGTCAGGTGTCACTGCATATTAAACTTCCTATATGGAAAACTGTATAGTATTGATTTCATATGTCTGCTCTTAATATAGTCAATGCACTGGGCTGTCAGAAGTAAAAAAGATCTGATGCTGGAAGAAACTGACCAGACTCCTACTGACAAGGCTGAAAATGAGGAGCAGAATGAGCGAAGAGAAATAAAGAAAGAGGAGCTGGGTTCAACCACAGAGAAAGTGGAGCAAAAAGAATCTGAGTCCTTGGAGAACTCATTTTCCCCACAGAATCCAGATTCTTCAAGTAAGTCATGTCCTATCGCTTTGCAGACAGAGAAAGTCTGAGTGTCGCCAAATTTACGGATTGCTTTGGCACCTTAAAAGGTACTTACTTAGCACTGACATAAAAACTAGAAGATACATTTTTCAATACATTCCTGACAAAGGAAATTGAGATATTTCTGGGAGTGTCTTCTTCTCCACTGAAATAATGCTAGCTCACATTTATTGGGGGGGTGTTTACTATGTGCAGGAATGTTTTTACATAAATTATTTTATGTCTGTTATCTCACTTAATATTAATTTTGTGTATATGAATTTATTTAATTCTCACTACAAGTTTGTGAGGTTGGTATCCACATTATTCTCATTTGACAGATAAAAAAAAAAAATGGAAGCCCAGAGAGGTTGAATGATTTTCCCAAGGCTATACAGCTTTTATGTGGCAGGGCAAGGATCTGAACGAAGGCAGTTTGGCTTCAGTCTGTTTCTAAGGCACTGTTTTGTGCCTTAGGCACATCTTGAGGAGATCCTTATCTGTAAGTAGCTCTATAGACATTCTGAATTCTTTATAGATCCACTGAAGCAGAGTGTTATGAGGAACTTCTGGCTCCCAAGCTACACATCCTAACTCTACTCCTTCCTATCTGTATTATTTGTTAAAACTTACTTCTCTAGACCTCAGTTTCCTCATCTTAAAACTAGAGATCATAATGGTACCTTCTTAAAGACTTATCATGAGGCTTAAATGAGGAGATCCATGCAAAATGCTTAGCCCAGTGATTTGCCTATGACAGGAGGATCTGGGGTAAATGTGAGCTATTATTATCATATCTAGCCATCCACTGTATGTCTTGTACAGATAGACGTGTGTGTGTGTACACACACTGTAGCTGTCCTTCAAAATCTTATTTGATTTTCAGGGTTGTGATACAACGCTCCAATAGATTTTAGCCTTTAAACAGAAGGTTCTTGAACATCCTTGAACATTTACTTAGTAGAAGAAGATAATTAGGTAATTTGTGATGAATGATAGTCTTTCTTAGAATATTCACTTCAAATCTCTTTGGGGAGAACTTTTTAATGGTCACTACTTGCTGGAAATAAAAATTTTTAAGAGTTTGATTCAGGTGTCTCTGCTGGTTACCCCCCAAAATCATGCTATAGTCTGTACACTGATTGCATCAGCCTTATAACTGATCAAAGCAGAAGACCGAATGTCAGAAAAACAGTTCTAAGCAAATACACACATACAAACACCCCCTGCCCCCACACATTCAAGAGCAAGTAAACATACAAATATTTCTCCATTCAGCCTTGGAATGTTCAGATCTGTCCCTCCCTAACCCTGACTGCGGATGAAAAAAAGGAGTTCTATGGAAAGTAACCTCACAGGGTGATCTGATCATTAGTTCCTAACTGGACAGGTCATGGTGGGTAGTCACGCCCCAGGCCTGTAGCTTCTTTAGTAAAAGGTTCATTTCTGCCTTCATCAAACCCTGCCCGTGGCCTCTGTGCCTCTAGGTTAACAGACCTTGGAAATGCCTCTCTTCAGGCCCCTCTTAACCTGTGGCCGCCCTCAAGGCAGCACATATTCTCAACCTGTAATGCAGTCTGCATCCTCATGGAACCTTTCCTACACTCCCTCCTTAGTCTTAAATGCATAAAAGAAATTATAAACTTATTCTGGGAAGCATTTTTCTGTCTGTTGAGATCTTGCTCCCAGGCATATTCTCTGTTTAACTTAAGTAATACATTTTTATAAAAATTCTCTACAGGCTTAGATGATCTTATGTTGACAAAAGTTAATGTCTCTGAGTTTTCCTATACGTATGTAATGGTTGAGATACTACTTTCTACTTTATCAGAGTAAGTCTTTGGTATAAATTATTAACATCTTAGAGTAACTGATTAGCTTAAGCAAACGTTTTGAGGAGTAAATAACTTAATATACATAAAATATTTAGATGACGCATATAGTTGTCTTTTTTTAGTGTCAGGTTTTATCATTATAGGATTTCTCCTTAGACACTTATATTTAGAATTAACTCTGTTTTTAACAGCTGATAAATACTGCACAGCGCAAATATATCATAATTTACTCGGGATAAATTGTGATGTCCGTCTGATGCCCTCACATCTTGTAGTGTATTCTCTTACTGTGGTTGAGGAATGAAGTGGAAGGGGGTGAGAGGAAGGAGGATCATTATTCCGAGAAGCTGTTTGGTGAAGAATAAGAATTAGGAAGTTTTGCCAAAGGCTGCATTTTCCAGTATTTTTTAAATGTTGTCTAAGAGATTTTTGGCTGTTCTGAGTAGTGCCTTATGGTTGGAGTTTGATATACCCAGGTGCAATTGCATGATTATTTATAATTTCATTTGACTGTAGTGTAAATTTTTATAACATCAGCATTTAAGAAATATTATTCATGTCAGCTTTACCAAGCCCTCAGAGGCTTCTCACATAACTTTCCAGCATATTTGTTAATTTCCTCAAGCAATGCTTAATATTTACTTTGGAGTTTTGCCTTTTGATGCCACTTCTGTGATGAGCGGCCCCATCAGCTTCTGACTTCATTACGACCAGTAAAATATGGATCATGTCATCTGAAAACTGGTGTGTGAGACAATCTCACGTCTACTACTGTGCAATAAAGATGGTTTCTGATAAATACAACCAAATAGTTTTGTATAACATCCTGGAATAAAAACACACAAAAAAATCAAATGCAGCAGAGACTGTTGGTGTGTAGTCGTGTCCTCTGCACACCTGCCTGCCTGTCCTGCGGCTTCTAGCAGAGGGGTCCCCTTGGCAGAGGAGCCTGGCTGGCAGCAGATGAGATGTGAGAGCATATGGTCAAGCAAAAGGGAAAAAATGCAACTGGTAATCTTACCAGCTAGAAAACATACCTATTATTGATCTTTTCGTTATTTTTATATGTTAGTATACCTAAAACTAAAAGGACCATACAGTACATATTTTGTGCGTGTGTTTCAATTACAAGTTGTCAGAAAGAATTTCCTTTTTTGCTTTTCCCCAAATGGAAATTCTTTAGATTTGTTTTCTTTGATAATTCTAAAGGAAGTGCAAACAGATCCTGATTTTCTGAGATAACCACTGCCAACTATACTGTGTATATTTTTCCTGACTAGATATTTGATATTTTAAATATCAGTAGAAGCACATTTTGTTCATTATCCTGTAAACAGCTTTTTCATTAGCAGTATTATAAACAAAAAATGAAAAAAGTCATACTTTTTATTACAGAAAAGTAAGAAAATACAAACAAAAAAGGGTATAAAAAATGAAAATCACATCTATTCCAACTATGCAGGGATAACTATTGTTAACATTTAGCAGTAATTCCTCTTAGATTTTAAAAGTGTTTTTACATAAATACTCATGTAAATAAGAGGTAAAAATGAGATCACACTGTCTAAACTTTTATAATTACCCATCACTTAGCAGTATGTTATGAGCATTTTTCTGTGACTGTAAGTATTAAAAAATTGCTAGTGACTGTATTAAAACCTTTTAACCAGATTTCTATTGCTGAAGACTTAGAATGTTTCTTGATTTTAAAAACATTTGTAAAAGATATTATGATAAACACCCTATAGTTAAAACCCTTGAGCACATCCGTAATTCTTAAGATAAACTTCTAGTAGTAGAATTATTGGGTAAAAGTTTATACATTTTAATGAGTTTGATAAATATTGCAAGTTGCCTACCAGAAGAGTTTTGCCAATTTATACTTCTTCTCGTAGAGAAGGAAAACGGCTTTTTATCTAATTTTTAACAAAGTTGTTTATTAGACTTAAAAAAAAAAACCTTACTATTATAGAATAAATTATTTGTATTTCCAGAGATCCTTTACCATTGACCTTTTATTTTTAGCAATTATTTGAAAGTTGTTTCCAATGTCTTTGCAGGTGAATTGTGAAAATTCCCACCACTGGTGGCATCTATAAATATCCTTTTATTAATAAGTTTAAGCATGTGAGATCCTCTTATTCGTATAAACTAAATCCTGTTCATAAGACTTCAAGTCTGCTTAAGTTAATTAGTTCCTGTAAGATATTAATAATTCATACCAAAGACTTACCTTTACATTTTCTTTATTGCAGTAAAGTCTTATCAGCAAGCTGTTTTACTATTACAAGCTTGACTTCTTTGTTTCTACTTCTGATTTAAAAATCTTCTCTTCTACCCTTTAAAGGTTTTTCAGATATGAACTCTTCCAACTTTCATTGCCGCTGGTCTGGGGATGCTCCTTCAGAACTCCTGAGGAAATTCAGAAACTATGAAATATGAAATGTCCTTCTCTGTAGGAGAGCAAGCGAGTCAGCAAGACCATCACCTGTGCTGCTAATGTGCAGTCTTTGTTCATATCTTAAAATGTCATGTTTATATGTCACGTCTATGAGTCGCTGAGTACTGATTGATTTTTCCGTCCTTGAACCCATTCTCACAATGTTTTTTAAATAAGGAAAATATCAAAAGACAAGTTTCTATTTGTATAAATTAAGGCTCTTGGATCCCAGAGTTGATTGTATTCTGTGTTTTCCTGTTAATGTTATTTGTAGAAATCCATTTAAAAAATTGATCTCGGTATTTAAATATTTAATTGATATATGATGATCTCTATTAATGCTGGGTGTACAAGAAATGTTTTCTGACTCTGGACTTAAAACGAAATGTGAAATTACTTGTGTAAGCCCCATAGAATGAAATAAATAATTTTCTCAAAGTTCATAATAAATGTATAATTCAACTGTATTTTGAAAATAATTTGAGTAGGTATTTCTACTTTAATTTTAATAATTGTAAATTTAAGAAGTGATTTATTTGAGGAAATATGTTGCTACTAGATTTCTTTGGTTATGTAGCAAGTGATTAGAAATTTATTTTCTTACAGTTTGAAGGTTAGAAGGCCAAGATCAAGGTGTCTACAGGTTTTGTTTCTTCCAAGGCCTCTCTCCTTGACTTGTAGATGGCTGCTTTCTCACTGTGTCCTCACATGGCCTTTTCTGTGCCTGTATATCCCAGGTGCTTCTTTTTCTTATAAGGACATCCGTCATATTGGATAAGGGCCCCACCCTAACAGCCTCCTCTTAACTTAATCAACCCTGTAAAGACCTTATCTTCAAATAAGATTACATTCTGAGGTATTGGGAGCAGGGGACTTCAATATATGATTTTTTTTTTTTTTTTTGGAACACAACTAAGTTCATTACACAGGTGAAAACTTAAAAAAAACCCCAAACAAACAAATACAATCCATTATTGGTTCCCTTAATTTTATTTGAATTTGTATTGCTTTGTCAAATCTGTTCAGAGAATTATTTATATCAATATTTTACCACTTCAGTAAAATGTGATTTGGCATTGTTACCGTATCTGCAAATTATACTTTAAAAAAGAAAAATGCAAAAATATAGCATGTTAAATTAATAAAATGAGGTTTTGGACTACAATTGCCTGTCTTAATGCCTGTCTGGCCCATGTAGGCACTCAAAAGAGAAAAGAAACTGGATTGAATAAGTGTATTTTTAAATCTAAGAATTGGAGTTTTAATTTTATCTCTCCTTCTCCCCACTCCCCCCCACCCTGCCATTGTCTAATTTACAGCACTGATGACTTTTGATGACTTGCCAATGGGAAAAACACTTCCACTGCCATGGTCCACTCTGCTTCTGTTACAGATGGGTTTCCCAGTTGTTGACAAGGCTGAACGCCAACTCTCATTTATTTTTCTCTTCCATGAGGCCTGAAGGCTCCAATAAGAAATGAGAAAGAGCTCCACTTGATTGGGGATTTATGATGGGCTGAGCTTGTGCTAAGTACTTTATATGCTTGGTCTTGTATAACTTAGTAGGAGACCTTTTATTTTTAAACACTTAAATACTCTCCTGAACTCATTAAAAGGCAGGGGACTGTGCTTTGATAATACAGTCTTTTTTCTTTGAATAAAGTATAAAGGGAAAACTGAACAACTTTTCTTCAATAATTTGTTTGAATTCCCCAGTGTGCTCAGTACAATTACAATTGTATGTGTGTGTAATAGCACATTTTCAAAGCCACTTATTTTTGGATTTTGGCTCAACTTCATGACAGAACAAACTTATTACAACAAGATAAGTTTAGATAAAGGTTATTAAGCTCTTAATCAGTTCTAAATGCTGAAGATAATTAGTTTCTCACATATTTGATATTGAGTGAATAAATGAATGAGGTACATATTTCTTGAGAGCATTATTATGTGAAAGCTACTAGTACTATCATTTGTGTTGGATAAAAAAATGCTGAAGTTGTGTTGATGTTCTCAAGTAGTTGTTAATTTAGTGAAATAAGACAGGTATCTGAATTTCATATCAAAGGAGCATGTTGAATTAGTGTAAGTATGTAATGTGCTTAGAACGTGCTGGCACATAGCACTATGTGTACTTGTTACTATTCTTACTGTATATAACTATGCGTTAAGTCTTGTGATAATCAGTTAATAGAATTATGGCCTCCTTCCCTCCTCAATCCCTTTCCCTCAATTTTCCATCTCAGCGGCACTGTTTCTTGCATATCTTTCTATAGCTATCTTGTGCATTACACACAGAGACGTGTTTCTGTTTTTTCTTTATACAAATGGTGCATATGATTTACTCTGCTACACACCTTCCATTTATTCAGTTAATCCTGGAGATTTTTCTACTTTTAGTTTGAGTGCTACTTTATTCTTTTTATCTGCCTCATATCATTCTTTTGGGTGGATGAACCATAATTTAACTTGTCCTCTACTGACGCTTTTCAAGGTTATTTACAGTTTTTTTGTGTATGTGATCACAAGTAACACTATAATAAATAGCTTTATGTATAGTATGTCTTGTATGTGAAGTATACGTGTAGGATAAATACCTAGTACTGGAATGGATAAACAGTGTGATTAAATATATATATATATTTAATGGTGATTAAATATATAGTCTAAATTATATATATGTATATATATAATTTGCTTACCAAATGATTAAACAAATAACAGATGCAGCCTAGCAAGTTTTGGAGATCTTAGGGCCAATGGATTGGAAAACCCAGAAAACAGTGTTTGTTCATCAGGATTCTTGCCTTTAGGTTTTTTTTTTTTTTTATTTTGGGCTAGACTTTGTTGAGTGGTTCAGTTTGGCATTGTGCTTATGGAATAATTTCCCCAGCACCTCCCATAACTCCTGATACCAGGGAGTGTCCAAGGTATAAAGCAATAATAAAACCAGAGTACACTTTTTTCCTAGTACCTTCCATAGAGACAAAAAGAGAATAGGATGTTTTTTCAGTGTTATGGCTTCTTGTCTTCTGGGTGTCCTGAAGTGTCAAAATACAATTCTGAAACAGTGTTGCTCTTTTAAGTTAAATGACAACTCAACAGAGCAATTCCGGAAAACTTAGGCAGAATTCACAATTTCCTAGGATCCCAAATAGTTTCTGGTCCCCAGTGGATATATCCCAGCCTGCCAAAAATATGCCCCTTGATGAACAAATTAGAAATGCAAAAAAGACTTTGCAGATATTTCTTGCAAAGAGAGAGCTGGGTAAGGGTAAGATAAGATTGTTTTCCTGCTTATGAGTTTTCATATCCTCTCTGTGCCCAGATCTGATGGTGATTACCAGATCAATCACAGCAGCAAGTGTCGATGACTAATGCAGTTATTGAAAGGGTCTTTAATTTCCTGGAGGCAAACACCATTACCCGCCATCTCCGTATCATAGACAGAGGGATGCCAGGACTACTAGGGAGTCAGTGATGAAAGAAATTATAAAACTGATGCAATTACTTAGAAAATGATTAAATGTCTCTCAGTGAAAGGCTTCAATTCCCTTCAATTTTAAGTTTTGTGATATGCATCAGTGTGGCTGTGTCTTCCAGGATTATTACTTCTCGGCTTTCTGTGTCATCTCACCCTCATTGTGGGAGGATATTTTGCATCAGACTGCACATTCTCATCCTTTCTCTCCTTATCTAAACTGTTTTACTTCTTCCAGTGTTTTGGCTTTGATGGTTTCTTATATTAATTAGCTGCCAAGAGTGAATGATTCCATAGCAGAATCTAGGTTAGATTTGTGAAGAACTGGATCTTTCTCTGGTCCTATCCTATGGTGGGATCTAGGGAAAATTCAGTTTTTTCTCACTGTGGCTGGAAATAAGAATCTCCCTTTTGCAGAACACAGGCTCTTGGCCCAGGCCCAGGTCCAGAGCTGGCCTGTTTCGGGCCTCGTGGGAGCCAGGGGGTTGTGGGAACTGATGAGGAATGTGCAGTCCAGAAGCAGATGTAAAAGACTAGTGGGAAAGGGAAAGGAGAGAAAGAGGACGTGTCCTCTTCATCATTCTTCCTGATAACTCCTCATTCTTTACTGTCGTTTTTTTAAAAAAGGGCAGAGATAGAGAGAGATTACAATTGAGTAGGTATACCTGTAGACATCAGCTCCAAACACCTCACTTATCTTTTTACATTCATCTGAGTTTGATGCCATTCTTGATAGCATCCCACCTCTGAAGACAATGGTGATTTATCTTCAAAGTATATTAAATATAAATAAACCATATTAAATACTTTCCCGCTTGTTAGGCCATTAAGAGAGGCTCTAAAACAGGGTCTAACAACCATAATCATAACCATAATCGCACTCTCTTACCTTTAACAGTTTTCAAAGCATTTTCTCAGAAATCTTATTTGAACTTCCCAATCAATGTCATTTGGAGGAGGAATTTGTAATCTTGTTATAGTTTAAAAACAATAAAATGAAAAACATTATTTTATTATTTAAAAAAAATCATTGGTTCTTAACCCTGAAATCACTTGGAAAACATGAAACCCCTGAGGCCTAGGTCCCACCCCAGAGGTTCTCATTAGGTGGGTCTGGGTGTCCCTTCCATGCTGGGATTTGACAGCTCCCGGGGAATTCTAATGTGCTTTTAGGGTCGAGGACCACAGTGGTTTAAACAAATACAGGTTGTAGGTGAAACGGTTAATGTCTTGGTGAGTCTATCCACACACAGAGACTGGAGCTCTTCCTTCTGTGCCACCAGTCATTTCTGTGAAAACCAGACTTTTGTGGTTTTCATGCTCTCTCCTGTTCTAAATTCAAGGAATCAGAGAGTCTACACAGTAGGGCAAGCACGGCCCCCTGGCAGACATCCGCGGGCATGCCATCCCCGGGGATGTGTGCGGTGAGGAAGGTGGCTCTGGAGTACCCATGACCACCCGGGGTACTCCACTTGGGCTTTCAAACAGGTCTATGCACTGCAGCCATATTTTGCCCCTGGTGGGTTCTCCCTTGTCTTCACCTCCAGTCCCTTAGGCCTTCTGGAGCTTCCCCTGCTGCTGCTGCGGAGTTTGCAGTATAGAAAGAAAAACTAGTTTAATATGGAATTGGCCCATACGGAGCCGGACCCGGGGAGCTTGTGCTCTAAACAGGCTAACTCCTGGTGATGTCTAGGTTTCAGATTATATAGGGCAAAAATGAGAAGAGCCCTAGCTGGTGTGGCTCAGTGCATTGAGCATCGGCCTGCAAACGAAAAGTTTGCCTGTTTGATTTCCAGGCAGGACACATGCCTGGGTTGTGGGCCAGGTTCCCCAGTTGGGGTTGTGAGAGAGACAACTGATCAATGTATTCCTCATACATTGATGTTTCTCTCCCTCCCTTCCCCTCTCTCAAAAAAAAAAAAAAAATGTTAAAGAAAAAAAGGGCATTGTGGGTTAGAGGTTTAGGGTTGTACTGGGAGCTGATTGGTCAGAGGTAAGGGTAATAATTTCTCCAGGTCCTGAGGACAGGCAGCTCTGAGGTCTTTTCTGCCCCCCATGTCCGGTCTCAAGGGAAAGTAGCCAGGGAGTCTGTCCACTTTGGTGCTCAGGAACTGAAACATAACTTATGTTACCTTTAGCCTGCCAGAGGTCCCTACTTTGTACCATCAGTCATGTCTGGGCTACTGTCTTCTACTCCCTGGGGCGTTGCTGATCATACAGGTGAAAGGCTACATCTCTGAAAGGTATATTTATATACACACACTCTCTATGTATCTATCTATCTATATCTATCTATCTATCTATCTATCTACACACATATCTATATACATATATAGAGGGGGATATGATTTCTAGAGCTAGGATTTAAAACCAAATTTAATCCAAGTCATAAGGACCCTTGGTTTCACAAGTGGTTGCATGACACACAGACTTCGCATTCTCAGACCTTCCTTCTCCTCTTTTACCGTGGCCTCGCCCACACTCTCTTCCCCCAGCTGTGGAAATAGGAACACCTGGGTAGATGAGTGACAAAGCGTCCTGGGGGTGTTTGTGTGTGCATGTGTGCGGGGGGATGTGTCTCTACCAGTAGCAACTACTTAAAAATGTCCAGTTTTAGAAATTCCATCAGTGCTCAAACAATAAAGATGTGACCCTGAAAAGCTTAG